TGTGTGTGTGTGTGTGTGTGTGTGTGTGTGAGAGAGAGAGAGAGAGAGAGAGAGAGAGAGAGAGAGAGAGAGAGAGAGAGAGAGAGAGAATGTGCATGCGTGCATATATGCAGGTGTGTAGGAAGGCCAGAAGAGGGCATCAGATCCTCTACATCTGGATATACAGTTGATTGTGAGCCATGTAGGTGCTGAGAACTGAACTTGGGTCCCTTGGAAGAGTAGCAGTGTTTGTAACTACTGAGCTATCTCTTCAGCACAGTGCAATGCTGCTTTAGAATATCATTTTCCCTCTCTTGGGTATTTTTAAAATTCTATATTAATCAATCATGTGTATGCACTCATGAGATGTGAGTATGGATACATGCATGCAACAGCACATGTTGAGGTCAGAAGACAACTTTGTGGAGTTGGTTCTCCCTTTCTCCTTGCATCTTTACATCAGAGATTGCACTTAGGTCATCAGGTAGGTACAGCAAGGCCCAGTTACCCACCGAGTCATCTCTATAGCCCTCCATGTTTTTAATAAGACATTTGCAATATTAAATATTAGAAATACTTCTAACTAATTTTGTAAATCTAGTCTGTGCTAAATATAGCTAGACCTTCTGAGTTCAGAAAGAGAAAAAAAACAAAACTACAAATCAAACTCATACGTAAAGATAGAGGCAAATTCTCTTTAAATGTTATCAAATCAGGGATTGGGGTAAAGCTCAGTGGTAGAACCTGTGCTCGGCATGTACTAGACCCTGGGTTCAATTATCAGTCATACCCCAAAAGCTACTCTCAATTCCAAAGGTATAAATCTATAGTATATCACTATTTCTTGAATCCTGGAATGCTAGAATGATGTTGGAAAACAAATGTAACTCGTTGGTTATAAAGTTAACATGACAAAAGCTGAAACACTGTTTATAAGATTCAGCTTCCTTACCCACTTATGTACTTACTTACCTAAATATTTTCTACAACCTCATTTGTGTTCAAACTCCTATTAGTAATAGAGGCCAGCCCTTGGCTATTGGGTATAGCCCTACATTCAACTCTATTCCACTTACCTTGCCCCATGAGGACATGTCCTAAGTCCTGTACAGAAGCCTTTGGCAAAGTCACATCACCCAGCTAGGTCACCTGAGAACATCCCCACTAATGGAAAACCAGTCCTGACCAGGTCTGCGCTGCCCGCTATCCTGTACACTCACCATCAAACTGGATCCCGTGAGCAGAGAGCTGCCCAAACAGGAGCCCACACTCTGCTTACATCTCTGTTCCTGGAGCTAGATCCCAAACAATACCCGCCCCCACCACCCTAAGCTGACTGCTCATTTCTTTCTGGTGCAACAGCCTTTACAGTAGAGCCATGTGGGTGATGACTCCTGGTTTGGCTGACCTCAAGTCCCTCTTTGTATTCCTGGAAAAATCATGAAGGAAGGCAATTAAACTGAGCAAGAGAATGTGCATTAAAAACAAAACACACACACACACACACACACACACACACACACACAC